AACTCGTATTGAAATGATTCAGGCCCCAAGAGATGGTTTGACTTGAGCACCCAGGGCCAAGACACAGTCAGACAGGGTGGCGAACGAGAAGTGGACCGCTCCGTGCGCGCCCCACCCCCAACCCACCCCCAGGAATGCTGCTGCCCTAGACCAGCCTGTCCGCTCCTGTCTAACCCTGACCGGCTGCACATGCCTGCTGGGTGTCACAGGGGCTGCCACTCTGCTCTACAGAAAAGGGTGGTTCCGGGAAAGGTCAGAGGATGCTTCTGGGTGCTTGGGGGACCCTGGCAGCAAACTGACCCGCACAAGCTCAGTGGAGCTCATCTTGGAGCAAGACTCTCAAAGCTCACTGCCAGCGAGTCCACGCCAACTCATGGGACCCTCTGGGACAGACCAGAGTGGCCTCGTGGGTTGGCAGACTCTAACTCTTTAGGGGAGCAGCAAGCCAGCCGTATCGTTCTCCCATGGAGCGGCTGACCTGAGGCCAGCAGTCCAAGACATAACCACTACACCACCAGGGAAAGAAACTGGCCCAACAAGGGCAGCCCCCATCTTCCCTTTCACAGATGTTCCTGGGGACCGACTGACCGCAGTGTAAGGAAGCCCCGGAGAACCTCAGGGAAGAGCTGCTGTGGAAGGGCGAGGTTAGTGCAGGGAGGGGCCCTGGTTCTACCTAAAAAGGACAACCGTACGAGCCAGAATGGGCACCCGGGCACCCGGTGTCTCCTAATAAGAAGACTTGGCTGAAAGCTGCATCTATCTCAGGTCTGGTGCAGCCATATATTTTTTTAATCCTTTAAAAAATATCTCTGTAGCTTTCAAAATTGCAAACCATTGTAAGGATTAGTAACCATCTGTGCTGGTAAGGGTCCTCAGACAGTTGCCAGGGATCTAAATTGCATCACCTTTAGAAAGAGGGACTTATAAAGGGGCATATACATTGACCTTGAAATTCTACTGGTCTACCCCCAAGTGTTAGGAGGCTGGTCATCCCAAATGTTTAAACAGACAAACAAACAGAAGTGAAGGGGGAGGGACCGGCCCAGCAGCAGAGGGCTGAATCGTTAACCAGCAAATCGCATGAAGAGATCAAATGCAGCTTTTAAGTAGGGCCAAGAGATACTCCTTGCATATTGCATTTACAAATGCCTTACACAGAGCAATGTTTTATAATTTGGGGGGTTAAAATCATATACACAAACAAAGGGTCTAGCTCGGACTAATTTGCCTATTGTTGTTACAACTTAGGATTTTTTTTTTTCTCTATACCAGGGAGAAAAGGAACAAAAACTTATAAATTCTAAACTAGGGACAAATCATGCTGCTTAGTTTTTTTTTGTGCTGTTTTTATTCGACTGCCTAAAAATAGGGAGAACGATGTCTCTCAGGGTCCCAGGAGATCATTCTGCCTGGATGTCACCTCGGGTCTATGATTGAGGACGAGCAGCGGTAATGGAAGGGGGTACAGATGTAAGAGACCCTCAGCCCCGGCCCGCCGGCCCTGTGAGCAACGCTGGCTCTGGGGCTGGGACTTTCCGCTGACTCAGCCCTGCCGGGAGGCCAGGAGCCAGGATGGCAATACATTTAGACTCTGGATAGTGTTGACCTGTATCTGAAGGAGGAAAAGGCCACTTCTGTGTCTCCTGGTGTCCTGAAACTTACACTTAATGATGAATATTTTATAAGCACAGTCTGGCACTGAAGAGGAGAGAAAGCCCAAGTCGGAAAGCCCTAAGGCATGCAGCAAAAGTCCACAAAGGCTGGAAATGTTGACCAGTAGGAGGGAGGCAAAATTGAGAAAATGTCTTCCTTTTTTATTTATTTCTTAATCGTTTTATTGGGGGCTCTTACAACTCTTGTTCCCATCCATACATCAGTTGCAGCCGACATATTCATACATATATGCCACCGTTCTTTTACAGACATTTACTTTGCATTGAGCCCTTGGGATCCACTCCTCTTTTTCCCCTCCCTCCTCTCCCCCCACCCAAACCTCGTGGCCCCTTGATAGAATGTAGATTGTGAATTATTTTCAAATCTCACACCAGCCGCTGTCTCCCTTCCCCTCTGGTTTCTGTTGTTCTTCCCCCTGGATGGGGGCGGGGGGGCCGGGGGGATAATGTGCCACTGCGATCGGTGCCGCCCTCCCTGCCCTCCGCTGCCCCCCTACCCCCTACCCTTTTGGGATCTCCATTCCTGTTCTTCCTTTTCAAAAACAGACTTCTGTCCTCCCGTTATTTAAAAAGAGAAATTAACGACACAGAGGTTGTAAATTACTTGGCGATTTCCATGAGAGGAAAGGGCTGTTTTGGAGAAATACAATCTCTCTGGTTGAAGGAGAGCCTGGGAAAGTCAAATGGTCACCCAGCATGCTTACATCCCAACTGTCCTCGTACTGCCACATCTTGCTCCAGTGCAGTGGCTGGCGGGTCAGCCACCAACCTCTTGGTTATTCACCAAGCACTTCACCACGGTGCCACCAGCCAATTCATCACTCTTCAAACGGATGGCTTCAGATAAGCAAGTGGAAGGACATTCATTTGCTGGGTTCATTTAACGAGTGCTTATGATGCTGGGACATTCCCGGGCGCCAGGTAGGACAAAGCACAATCCCTGCCCCCAAATGACTCATTGTCTAAAGGCAAAGGAGTTGGCTTCAGATAAGGGGATCCATGTTCTAAAAGAGGAAATTTGGCCAGGCACAAGGACCTGGGGCACCACGGAAGCCAAATAGTGTTCGACTTGTAACATGGCATTTGGTAACTGATCTGGCCCAGCCAAGAACTCAATCTATATATGAAGCAAGAGGTTGTAGAAGGGGATATGTCAACTCATACATCAACCCATCCTTGAAGGATGAGCTATCTCCAAGAATTGGGTAATGAACTTGACCAGCATCCTCCCTGTTTCTCCAAACAACGTTACAAAGTAAACTTAGTCTTCCTCCTTCCACTGGTGAGGAGCAAACTCAGAGAAGAGTAGCTACTCAGCATGGGTGATTATGAGGAAACTGAGGCCCAGGGGAATGTGCACAGGCACAAAGTTAACCCACTACAGAGCAGGGATTCGAACCCAGTTTCCACACATTCCAGAGCCTGGAATCTAAATGGGAAAGTAAGCTATGTCCTTAAGCCTACTAGAGACATTTAAAATCAAATACCATCTCGTGGTTGGGGTGGAACAGAGTTAGAAACATAATCTTGCAACACAAAGCCAGAAACACAGCTGCTGGCCACCAGTGCCCCAAACAAAGGACCCGGGGCACCATGGAAGGTTTTTGTTTGTTTGTTTGTTTTGTTGGTTTTTTTACCATGGAAGTCTAGTGGTGTCTGACTTAACTTGGTATCTGGTAACTGGCTTGGTCCAGCCCAGAACTTAATCTGTACGTGAAGCAACAAATACCAAGATGTCAAATTAGAAACGTATCACTAAGAACCAGTCATTATGCTTTTAAACAAATGCCTTGCCTGTCTTCTTATTTGATTAATGGTAAGTAACGGTGAGAAATTTTCAATTATAGAATTACTGAGAGTGGAACCAGAGTGAAAAGTACCAAGAGCTCCCCGGGGTATCTTTGCAACTTTTCCGTAAATCTAAAGCCATATCTAACATAGAAGTGATTAATTTTTCTTTTAGGAAATTTAAACTCTATACCCGATACCGAAGGGGTACAATCACCCTAAACAGAGCAGGGCTCTTTTGCGATGGTCTTGGACACAGACACCCCATAGAGTGATCCGGAAAAGGCCTTTAACGAAAACATCGCCATCGCACCTCCAAGTCCTGAAGCTGCCAGGTGCTTAGGTAACCAGGACCTTCCACCTTCACCTCTCTAGCGGTTTCCACACCCTCAACCCCCAACCTCAAAGGGGTACAAGAGAAGGTGGGAATCTGCCTCCCAAGACATGTTTTCTGCCTGCTGTTCATTTCTGACCGGAATCGACCAAGTTCTTCCAAATGCACGGGCCAGAGTGACACTGAAGCAATGCTTTCACGCTGCCCCCCAGGGAGGAGCGCTGCACAGTACATGTGCGTTGCCGGGAGTAGAAAGCACCTGAATGACGTGGGCTTACCACTGATAGTAAAATGCCCTTTCCAGTCGGGATGCTGGAGGTACACACAGGTGAGACCAGAGAAAGCCCTGCCCTGGGGTCCAACCGAGCACACCGGGTGGTATGACGACCACCTACTGGGGAAGTTGCTTCTCTCCCCGCACCCCAGTCGCCTCCTCTAGAAACTAGCGCCTGTGCCTGTCTCGTAGAGTCCCTGGGGGTGCAACTGGTTAACGTGCCTGGAGCCCTGGTGAAGTCGTGGTTGCATGCTGGGCTGCTAATGACAAAGCCAGCAGTTCAAAACCACCAACTGCTCGTCGTCGGGAGGAAGAGAAGGCTTTCTGTTCCCATAAAGAGTGACCTTCTCGGAAACCCAAGAAGCAGTTCCACTCTGTCCTAGAGGGATGCTATGAGTCGGAAATGACTCGAGGGCAGTGGGTCTGAGGAAATCTAATGGCTGCAGGTTTGAGTCCACCTAGAAGCACTAGGGAGGAAAGCCTGGCAATTTGCTTCCGGAAAATCAGCCACTGAAACCCCTACGGAGCGGAGCTCTACCGACACATGTGCGGTCCCCATGGTCCAAGTCGACTTGGCAGCAACTAGTGCACCTGCCTTCTGGTCTGTGGAGGGGTTGGGGTAAAGGTACAGGAACATACGCCCAGCACTCAGCACCAGGACGAGTGCATTGTGGATACTCCATAAATGGAGAAGGACTGTTACCATGGAGATGAAGAAGAACCAAGTCTGGACCCATGTGTTTGGTTCTGGTGGTACCCCAAAGGCAGCAACCGTAGGACCACAGCAGGGCAGAAAGGTCACACGGGGTGTCACAAGCTGCTCGGGCAGCTGGGAACGGCAGAGGCAGGCTGTGAGGACCCCGGTGGACTCTGCAAGGGCTAGCCACCGCGGAACTGTTGCTTGCACCATAGAAACATGAAGATTACTCACGGTTTTCAACAAGGTGATCCCAGAACTTGTGGGCAGCCTAGCATTCGAACGGCCAGAGTCAAGTCCAGATGTTACCCTGCAGCAGCACACTGTCAGGAAACAAACACACAAAACCATGGGGGTCAATGGATGAACATCAATCTGCCGGCATGCACAGACGGGAGATGCCAGGTTGGAAAGAGCCAGGGAGAGGAACATGCTGCGGGGGGTCGATTGTCTCAGGGTACCCACAGTGCAGTGATGGGGCTGGCAGCCCTTCTGACCTCAGTGTCTGCAGGACCACTCACCCCACACCAGGCATGCCTGAGCCAGTGCTGTCTGTGGGGCTCACTCCACTCACACTGTGGTCCCCAGCCATCTGAGGAGGTCAGCTAATGTCGCTATAAAACCATAGAGACTTTTGTGAAACAAAAATATGAAAACGTGAAGCTCCTGTTTCTCAATATATCTTTGCCCCTAGGTCAAGACACTTGTGTCTCTCTCTAGTCTGGTGGTGTAACGGGTTATAGGCGGGCCTACTAACCTAAAGTCAGCAGTTCAAACCCACCAGCTGCTCCTCGGGAGAGAGATGGTGCTCTCTACTCCCGCCAAGATTTTCAGTCTCTGAAACCCACAGGGGCAGTTCGACTCCGTTCTAGCGAGTTGCTGAGAACTGGGATGTTCGTGATGGCGTGGAGTGTTTGAGAACCCTTCCCTGAAGAATCCTGAGCTCTTTGACGCGATGTCAGAACAGTCATTTTGGCACCCTCCAGGGACTCGCATCAGGGTCCTGTTAAATGCTGAGTTTGGGGAATAAACATAAGTCTCTACGGGCCAGACCAGGGCTATGGGCTGGACAGAGTAAGATTCCCCAGGGACACCGTCACAGGATGACCTTTGCTCGCCTCAAAGAACGAGTGGGTATGTTGTTGGGATGGAAAAGAACAGTTCTTCAGCTCGACTTCCCGGACGTTTTTCTCTCACCGGTGCATTTTTAAAATTTTCCTAAAACTTCTCCCTAATAAGCCCCCGTAACCATCCCATGGACTTTGAGAAAACCTGTAAAGACTACCCCTTTAGTGTCCCCCACATTAGTCGCCATCACCTTCAGAAATGACCTCTTTGCCCTGAATTTAACCGGCCCAGCAAATCCCGTCAGAAGCCACTGTTTGGATTAGACGCTTTCGTTTTTGAAGGCGCCCCAGGAGACAGACACGTGTCCACACCCGGCCACGGATGAACTGCAAGCCTAGCAAGCAGTGTTTCCTTCTTATCCTCACCCAACTGCACGGCGCCCTGGTCCGAACCTCTTTGAACAGATGAGACAAAAAACGAGGCTCAGAAAGAAGTCCAGCCCCAAATCATTGCTACCACTAGCTGCCCCGGAGTAGATTCTCACTCATCGCAACCCGTCCTTGTCAGAGTAGCACTGTGCGCCATAGGCCGTTCAATGGCCATCACTTTCAGAAACAGATCGCCAGGTCTCCCTCCCGAAGCACTTCTGGACAGACCCAACACCCAGCATTTCAGCGAGCAGCCACGCCAAGCACAGTAACCATATGCAAAAACCCACTGCCATCAGGTCACCTCTTGCTTTACACACCGAAACCTTCCCGGGAGCAGACACCCTGCTCCCGGCATCCACCCACAGAACACTTGGCAGGTGTGAGCCACCGGCCTCACCGTTAGCAGCCCAGGTGCTTAACCCACTGTGCCACCATGCCTCTTTTGCAGCAACCAGGGATTCCAAAGTTAGCAGGGGGGCAACAGCATGGCCAGGAATGGAAATGAAGAATTAAGCCCATAAAGCTTAAATGTATCTGTAAATTACCTTTCTAATACAACTCTATTTGAATTAGAGTTTCTAATACAAATGTCGAATACTACCTTTCAACTCCAGCTATTGAATTTTTTTTAAAAAGGCTACTCTTTACTCTGCTTGGCTCGGAACCAAGGCCGAAAGCAGCCCAAAGGTTCCCGTCTGAACTGCTTCTTCCAGGTCTTGCTCCTTAACCCCCAAAGACCTCACCCAGCAAAGTGAAAGTTCCGATTGTCTTTAAAAACAACAACACACACACCCAAAACTGTTCGTCTTTGAGCAGGGAGAATGGGGGTTGTGGAATCGAGCCACCTTGGACAGAAACCTGAAGCTCTTAAAAGAATGCTCAGTCCACGAAGAGCAGCGCAGAGCAAGGAGCAAAGCCCCGTTTCCATTCACCGGGTTTGCACGCCCGAGAGAACAGAAAGGAGTCCATTTCAAAGGCCAGGGGGCTCACACTGTCGTCCAAGCGTACTTTGGTAAAATGAAATGGACGATCAGAACGCTAGTAATTTTCTAGGAAATGAGGTGTTTGGTGATTGGTGGTGTTTTTTGTTTTGTTTTATTAAGTCTTGGTCTAATTATATACTTAAAACATAGTCATCTAAATAATTGCCTCTCCTCCTGGCGCATCTAGTTGCAGCTGGTCCTAATAAATCACGACTATCTTGGGACAACCACCTAAGGGTGCAGGGCCTCCCTCCAGCCACCACTAACAGGAGGAACCTGGATGAGGCCAACTTCAGGAACTTTCAGCTACAAGACTCTGAAGTCCCTTACCCTTTGAAACAGAACTCAAAAACACTTCATAGAAAGTTGGCTTACAAGAAGTATAATTAATTGCCTGCCTACTTTGGAGAAGTGAATGCCAGTCATTTTAAACAAAAGTTACCTAACTCTTAGGAAATAACCCCAGAGTTGGTATAACAATGGTTGTGTTCTGATTCTCATGAGTTTGCATTAAAGAGGAGTCTGCATTAAAGAGTCTTCCCCTAGCCTCACTAAATGGGGGTGGGGGTGGAAGGTGGGGCCTTTGAATCTTTCCCCCAAGGCCCATTATTATTTATAAGGCAACTCCTGGTTAGGGTTTCTTCTGCGAGAAATGGAACTTAAGGAGTGACATCATTTTTTTCTAAACTCAGGCAACCATTCCAATTTCTGTGTCCAGTACAGCATTCTACTTGGTCAAGAGAGGAATATGCAAAATTTGGAGAAAAAGCAGAGCCCACAGCCGGGCAAGGATCCCACGGTGGGCAAGCCAGGGTATAACTTACCTCCTTTCAACAGTGATGATTCTCAAGTGAAAAAGGCCATGGGTCCTCAGACTCGGCTGGCCCACACCATCCCAGAGTGTCTCCAGCATCGTTTTAAAAACAAACCAATAAGACCTACCTGCTTATTCTTTTGTTTTGGGTTTCTTTTTTAAATCATTTTATTGGGGGCTCGTACAACTCTTATCACAATCCTTACAGCCATCGATTGTGTCCAGCACATTAATGTACATTGAGTTCCATCATCATTCTCAAAACACTTTCTATCTACTTGAGCCCTTGATATCAGCTCCTCATTTTTTTCCAATCCTCCCTCATGAACCCTTGAAAATGTATGAACTATTATTATTTGTTCGCATCTTACACTGACCGATGTCTCCCTTCAGAAAGATGGGTAACATCCTCCGACAATCGGACGGACCGTTCCCCTCAAAAATCAAGCATTTAGATTCAAGGAGGTTCAGGAGCCCTTTAAATGCTCTCTGGGGTAGCCAGGGCAAAAGACACCTGCTGGATTAAAATGTTACACAGAGCCCTCTTTGAAAATGCCCTTTGAACTTTCTGCAAGTTCGTTGTAAACGCAGTTGTCAATAGAAGTTCCACTCACAAAGCACACACTGCACCAGGAAGCAGACAGGACATTGGCTTGGGCAACACTTACGGTGAAAGAGTGCTAACTAACAAGCATGTGTCCTGAGCCCTGTGCTTCACCCAGAAACTTTCGCCAGCAAGTCCCAGTGGGGACCTTCCCTTGCATCACTTGATGTGAAATGTTTCAAAGCTAAACAAGAACATCGCAAAGCACATCCTGCTGGGGACTGCACGCATTGAGAATACAACACAGCCAAGATCGGTGAGAATTACGTTTTCCAGGAGGGCACAGAAGGGGTAGACTGAGAGGAAACTTCTAGGGTGTTCATAATGTTGGTTTCTTAACCTTGTTGTTAGCATCACTTGTGTTTACTTTAGTCATGCAACGATGCCTGCACATTTTATCTACTCTTCAGTATGCTTGCCACAGTTCAAAGCAACTTTTAAAAAAATGACCCATTCTTGGGGGGCTGCCCCCAGTCCCAAATACTAAGTGGATGCCTTCCCCTCCCCCGAAAAGAATTTATTTCAAAGGACGGCACTGAATCTGCAGCTCCAGGAGAGGAACATATCTGATAGGAGCACACAGGAGCAGATTGGGGGTGCGGGGGGAGGGAGGCTGGAGCACATCCTGGCCCACCAGGCCTTGAGGATGATGACCCCAATTAGAGCAGCCAGTCCACAGAGAGGACCACATGGCCAGCCCCACTATGAGACATGATGCCCCTCACTGACCCA